GATGGGAGAGGAAACCAATCGTGTAGAGTTTTGAATTTTAAGTGGGCTATTTCTTTTAATTAAATTAGTTTGTTTGATTTGATTGGGCTATTTTTTTTTATGAATTGGACCAATAATAATATCATAAAACTTTTGTCATGTCATAATTTATTGGATAAAATTGAATCTGGTGTTGACAGCTAAATTTAAAAAGTCAATTTTCAAATAATATATAACGGATATATTTTTACATGCTAATAATTAAAAAGCTAATATTCAACTTTTGGATTTTAAAAAAACATCAATCTTTAAAATTCAATGTGAGGAAAATGATTTTTTTAAAAGAGAAAAATGATCAAATAGGAGGTTCAATCTTTTTTACATCAGAGAAACCTCAACTTTTCAGAATAGATTTGATTTCAGAATAAATTATTATACATTTGATTTGACACGTTTATGTATATAAAATATTAAAATGGTAAAACTAAACTTCCAAAACGTCATATTATTAACAAAAAACAATATTGTTGACAAAAAAAATTGGGGCAATTACAAAAATGACACTTTTTGTGTGCACATTTGCAAGAATGCCATTTAAGGGTGTCCATTTGCAAAAATGCCACTAATTATAGATTTCTAAAGCTCATATCTTAAAATTCTAAACCCTAAAAAAATTTTTGACGCCTAAAACCCCTTAAAACCTCATAACTAAACCCTAATAGAACATAATTAACCCAAACATAAATAATATAAAGAGAAAATAATTTTGAAAAAATGGCATTTTTGTAAAGTGGCACTTGAAAAGTGGCATTTTTTAAAATTTCTCAAAAAATTTAAAACAAAAATATCAACTACAATTTCTACAAGAAAAATCTAAACAATTACATATTTTCACATTTTTAAACTGTAAAAATAAAAAAAAATATAAATAAGTTTTTTTGGTGATAAATTTTGAAAACAAAATTATAAATAAGTTATCTGCGTGTACGAGGGCGAGTCACCTATAGGTTAGAGGAGGTTAGAGGAGTGCGATGATGCTCCATGAACTTCGCTGGTCCCCTCGACAATGGATCTAACACCTTCGCCTCTACCTAAGACCGAGCAGATCCGAGTGAGATTTCAACACCACTGACTGCTGGTGTACCTTCTCCGCCTAAGACTCGCATGTTTCCGACTGAGGCTTGACCACCTCCGCCGTTGGCTCGACGACCATGGCATGTGGATGTAGACGGTCCGCCGATTTCCATACCACCTGGAGGGGCTCTATTTCCTTTTCCTTTTCATTTTCCTTTTCTAGCCATGAAGAGCAGATAGAAGAGTCGAAAAAGGAAGATCGAGAGAGAAAGAAGAAGATTTGGAAGT